GTATATATAATTAATGTATATATTAAGAGTATATATAATTAGAATTTTTCTTCGATTTTGCGGACGGAATGGAAAATCTAGTATATATAATTAATGTATATATAATTAAGAGTATATATAATTAGAATTTTCTTCGATTTTGAGGACGGAATGAAAAATCTAGTGATTTTTGCATATCTAATGTGCATTATCCTCTTATAACAAGTTTTATGTTTTGATGTGTTTAAATTTTGCTCATTAGAAGAGAGTATGATGAGTTAGTTTTCTTGAACACTTAAATAATAGATAATTTGCTGTTTTTCCAGGTTTTTAAAAGTTCCAAGTTTTTTTAAGGTGAATATCTACTTATTTTTTCAACTTCTCACGAAACAGAAAGTAAATTGAAAGATTTTGAATTAATTTAGTCGTTTGAAATTTCAGAAAATTTTCAGAGCAATGCAATTGGTAGCTCACAATCCATCTCAATTCGATGCAAGATCGGATTTGTTGCAACCTCTTCAAGGGCTAATTGCAAGCATCGATCAATCAATTATGCAAGCTAATCTCTACAAGGTAGCAATTTGACCTCCATATCTATTAATGTTATTGTAAAATTCGAAAATCTAATAGTAATAACGATAGTATTTAAGCATAAAAAATATTTCATAGAGCACAGATATTTATCTTGCACTAAAGATCGGACAATCGAGTATATCAATGTCTGCTAAACAGTTTAGATTTAGCATTTTTACGATTACTTTTATGACCGTTGTACAGTTACTTCTAGCATGCCTTTTCTTCTATTCACTGAGAAGACATGCTAGGATGATTGGACGATTTGATAGCTATTTAAATTATTAGAAATCTTCCAATTTATCTTCTGAGAAGTTGAAAAAATAAACAGAATTTTCATAGAAAATTATCGGTATTAATATTTACTTTCTCAATTATTTCTGGCTTTAAGATTATCTTACATACAAAAGTTCATTTCATGGATTATTTTGCATTATTCAATTATTCTATAAAGCTTTAAATATATGTTGGTGACAAGTTTGCAGAATTGTTGTCAACAAATGTTCGACAAAAATATACATGACAATCTTCAGTTCAGTGAACGAATGAAAGGAATAACAATTGAAATGTTCGAAAAGTGGGATCGAGTGGCTGGTATATATTCTTTATATACTTTACTCTCGAATAAATCTGTGATCAAATAAAATTTGTGAACTGTTGAATTTTTAATTGATATTTTTATTTTGTGCTAGAATTTTAAGAGTTTGTCATTTGGGATTTTTGTTCAAAAAAAGCTCAAACATTGATGTCAAACCTCACGGGAAATTCCGAAATTTCAAAGCTACAAAGTAACAGTCTTAATTTTTTTAAATAACATTACATCGCAGCTTCAGCGGATGATATGCCAGATAAACGACATCTAATGACGATTGTTGCCCTTGTCTTATGCCATATGTTCATATTTCGAACTGTTGATAAAAAAATGATGCGAATCGTTTGGAATAGTTATAAAAAGGTATGTAACGAAAATACAAAAGATATTGCTGTGCATATACCGAGTAATTATCTGAAATTAACTTAATGTTTCATACGATTGCTGGTGAGTCGAATACACTCCATAACATTTCAAATACTAATTTTAGGGTTGAATTAAATGAAATGATAAAAATGTTATTGTGCAGAATCCTGAAAACGTGTAGGATAGTATAAGTTGTGTTGGAATTATGAATAATATTTAAACATTGCTATTCGGATAAATTATTATCCGAATATCAGTGTTTAAATTTTATTCATTTCATCTAATCTTCTATAAAAAATTAACCAGTAAGCTTATTGCAGCAAATATTTTCACTCTTGAGTGGGTATTCGGTGGAAATAAACGAACTTATTAAGGATATTAGATCATTCAGTAGGTATATAAAGTTATTGCAAGCCAATTATTGTACATCTCTTGCATTTCATTCTCAAATTTATTTTTAGCTTCCACTATTCCATCTCTCTGGATATGTAATTTGGTCTCCATGTGAATTTATGCTGGAAAATATGATTGATGTAGATCGTATAATTGATAAGAAAATGATAGCTGCAATGATTGCTGCAAAATCTGCTCAGTTTGTTCAAAATATGGAAACATTGCCACGAGAAGCAGCTAATGCAGCAAATATTGTAAGTGAAAAGATTTTATTTGCGGAGTTTTTTTTCCACTATACCTGAAGAAAAAAATATTCCAACACTGGTTCAATCATTCAGGGTTAATTGAAATATTACCAGTTTAAAATAATTGTTTCGAGTTTTTTCCCAGAAAATTGTAGAATTTTTTGTATTTTATTTTGCATGTGTTTCATTTTACAGTGTGTGTGTGTGTGTGTGTGTGTGTGTGTGTGTGTG